ATTTGTAGATGATGCAAGAAAGAACAGTATCACAAAAATCTGGTTTGTTATGATCAACATTTCAAGATTACTTTGCAGGTCCAATATCATTGTGACTTGAAATAATGTGATAATTATCATAATATAGAAGAAATTGTTAATACTATTGGTCTACAAGTTGTAAAACAAACTTGCTAACTTTCCCTGTCACACCATATAGAGGTTTTTACACTAATTACTTACAGGCACCATCTGACGTCATTTTTGCTGACATCATTTCATATCTATTTTGTACAAACATGAACTTTCAACTAGGACAAATATGTCCATACATGGTTTACCTGTAGGGTCAATATTTCCACGGAAGCAAATTCTATGGATTGAAGAGGACTGCAAAAACATCATTCATAATAAAAACCTGTGGCCTGTTGTGTATATGACAGTATGTACTTTCCAAATCATTAAATTCAACAGAACATGTAAATTAAGAGGATAAATACACAAAATTGGAGTGATTTATGAAAAAATATATCAGTTGATGAGAACATACATTGTAATTACTGTGGGTAACACACCTGATAACAAAGGATATATAGGTCAAGTTGACAACTAAAGTATGTACTTTACATGTTAGAAAGGGCCCTGCATTACATCAGACTACACCGAAGTGTTATTTAGTGATCTTGACATGTTGTTGGGAAATTTCTCACTTAAATTCAATTAATTGTACTTCATTGTTATAAAATATCAACCTGTTTTTCAAATTTGACCTCAGCTTTTAACCTGAAATATTTGTGTAATATATCAAATTCCGTCTTGACCTTTGATCTGATGACCTTGAGCTGTCATTTGTCGAATGCTCATTTGATTTCAGTTGATAACACTTCAATATGTTGTAACCAAAATACCTCCCAGTTACATACATCAAATTTGACCTGAGCATTTTGACTGATGACCCTGACCTGCAGCTGGGTGACTTCTCATTTGATTTTGGTGAATAATGCTTCATTATGATATAAGTAATATATTTACCAGTAACATTCAGATATAGTTTTTGTTGTTTATTCCAATTTCTACTTATAGTAATGGTGACCTTAATATTTGACCTCTGAAAATGAAAAACAATTGACAGTTAATAATTCCTGTAGAAGCAATGGAGAAAGTAATTGAAATCACCCATACAGACCTCAAGATATTTTCCTAAATATGTTTATAGTACATGACTTTGACCTTTGACCTCATAGCAATTTATCATAAGCTTCATTTGCTTTGTGGAAAAAAAAAGTCCTGGAGACATTCTTAAAACAGGCAGATTATGACTTCACAAAAGAATTTCCATGTTAAAGTATACAACAATGAAAAATACAAATAATGAAACATACGTTTATATTATACAGAACTGGATTTGTAAAGGATACTCCTCATTAAAGACTAAATCAACTTTTATGTAATAAAAGTAACATACAAAAAGAACAAAGAGCATCTATGTTTCTGTAATTTCAAACGTCTTAAAGAACTCCAAGTCTCTAAATCAAGAAGTCAGCTTTGCACAATTTTTAGTATGTATTTCTAATGTAACAGTACTTAAAAAAGTGGTTTTTTGATGTGACCTCTGAAAAATACAGTACATCAGGAAAGCAAACAACCAAATAAGTTAGTCAAACAGATTGTCATGAAAAGTACAATGAGCAGAAATGCATCAACAAAACAAATGTATTTTACTACAAGACAATTTCTATACAAATCAATTTCCTATAAATTTTCAAAGAAAACCAATTAAGTAGAAAATAAATCATCGAAGAGCACAATGACACAAACATATTAATACACATCTCAGTATCATATCTTAGAAAATATTGGCCCAAACACTTAACACAGTGTAACTTTCAAAACAGTTTCATAATGAATAATTTCCGAGCATTCAACATGTCCTCAATGTAAGCCAGTTTTGTGAACATAATTGGTGTCTGGAGGAAGATTGAATTTCGATTGAATTTCAGCACACCTACCTGTCTTTGGTGTTAAAGATCTAAAACAAAACTGTATTTGTGGAGCTGCCGGCCTCAAAACAAATAACTATGATTACAAAAACATGAAAGAAAGCCCTGAATACAAAAAGTACAAAAAAACACCACGTGTATATAATATTATAGATAGATTACATTAAACACTATAAACTTAACATTTACAAGTTACAGTGAGATAAATACTATAAAAAGGAGAAAACAAAGCAGAGTCTACACCAGAGACTGTTCTCTACCAACAACAAAGACAGTGTCCAAAGTCAGTAAATATGTCCATCTCCGTACTTTACACAATTATCACTACTGTCTAATCTAAACATGGTTTCTGTTTTTTTTTAAATATCTATACCAAAGTTGGTTTTGATTTTATAAATATAGATTATAAAGTTCTACTGTTAAATACATATACATGTACCATAAAACAGATTTGTCAATAAAACAAGAAATAAAACATTATCATTAACACAGGATGGTAGAAAAGATCAGTTTTATATAAAGTTTCAAAGTTGATACAAAACCTGAATATAACAGTACCATATACCTATATGTACTTCGTAATGAGATCTCACTGATATCTGGCAGTCTATAAGACTAGTTTTACTTTCCCAAATTTTCAAATACTAATGTGATCACTCAGAATTATAGTTAAAGTCAGAAACTGATTTATTGCATTACTGCATATATATATAGGCATCCTGCTTATTTCTCACTTCTGGTGAACTAAACACAAATCCACTTTATTTCTCTGAGGATTCTAGTGAAACATCCTAATTCTAGTGTAACATACCAAATTTTTCAAAAATGTCCTAACATCAACAAATAAACCTGAGGTTTTCATACTATGGATTTCGGAGACAACTGGTGTGAAACACAGATTGAACAAAACTGTTAAAGTTTCAATAGTATGATTTTCAATCAATGTTGCAGGATAAGTAGAATGCATGGTCAGTGTCTTATTTTGAATCAGGACAGGAAGACAAAAGTGACTCTCAAGAGGCTTGCCAATTTTGTCTTTCTTCACCCTCACCGAAATACAGCTTATATTTTACAACATGGTCATGTATTCTCTATGCAATTCTTGACTCAACATTTTAAGCAAAAAATATTTAGGTAATTTGCACAGTGATTGTTAAATATAAATAACAATGTGCATTGTCAGGTCCTAACTTACTTCAAGCATAAAACCATGACAAAAACATGTTAACAGATAAGTTTCAAACAAGAAGTGATTTTCTTATCAAACAAAATTTACAACAATTCCAATTTTAAATTTTAAACAATTTAATTGTCAAAGTCTCTTGGAGTTTACTCAAACATTTCAAGAATTAATGCAGACATATTGGTAGAATAAATTAAACAATACATGGGATTTACAGAAATCAGCACTGGTTAATTGTCTGTAAATGTAATACCTGCTGTATGCTTTGGTCCGCTAGTCTACCATTTAAAGGTACATATCTTCTACAGGTACATCACAGTATATTGAGATACTTGTCTATTGGTTATACATGTAATGCAAAAACCTTAAATGAAAAATAAACATTTTGGAAATTATATTTGTGAGATGTATCGGTACTAAATCACACAATGTATCAAATGGCCGATTATCCTCGTATAAATCCACTGAATGTGACGTCTATGGAAGGAAAGCCACTATTTTCAAACATGAGTCCAATAAACAATAATTGATGTTTGTTCAAAAAGGAGCAGCGGTAAAGAAAAAGTAAAAAAACAAACAAATTGTTACGTATATCATTGATGGATTAAAGAAATAAAAGTTCCAAATCAATTTCTTTCCATCTTTTACAAAATACTTTTTAATTGGTGAAACTATTTTTATAGCTGTCATGTTATTTGTTTAATGAGATATCTTGAAAATGGCAATTCAAAGTTGGGAAAACTTGTGCCTGATCTAAATGATATCTGTGTTAATCAAATCAAAAAATTACATTGAATAGCATTTGCAGGCAAGTAAAAAATGTCTGAAGGACTGACATTACAAATAAGACCGCAAAAAAGGCCACGCCTTCTAACCAGGCAAATTGTTAAATAGGCAAATTTTCTTGAGCCCAAAAAAAAGGCACATGGCATTGCAGAATAGACAGGTGTCATTAAAACCAATGCACAAAATGAAAACAACATATACAATAGATATGGAAATATAGTCTAAATATGTAAACAAACAGATCTAAGTACAACATATCAGCAGCCAATAAGGCACCATTAACATATTGCATACAAATCACCCCTCAATAATACCTCAATACATCCACACTATCACCATGGTCTTTTGTCATAGTGATGCATGGCGATGCACCAAATCCTATATTGTGCTAAGCACTATGTCAAATTAAGATAAGATAGCACTTGGTAAGTTATCCTTTCAATATATATATCGATAATGAACCTCTGATTACTTTTAGAAGTACAGTTAATGTTGAATTTAAAAATCAATTTACAACATCTGTCTCAAAGTGTTAGTAATATACTGAAACATTAAAGGTTTAAGTACTTGTACAATGTACCTTCAAATCTATACTAATTTCAATTATTTTGATCTTATGGTTATCAAATGCTACAGTATATATCAGAATTCTAATTACATATACTATCATTTATCATTAGACTAGAGGTCACATTACTATCAATGATGAAAAATTACAATCTGATTTCGTTTAACAAATATCGTATATGGTATTGGTCTTCTAACTTCACTTGGTTCAGATCAATAGTAAATAAATGCATTAACAAAATATCTGTAAAAATCAACAAAAAAGTTCTGGCTAACATATGATATCTAGCACAGCTATAATGAGTAAACACAGAGATTAACAATGTATAAATAGCACTATATGTAGATAAGCTCATTGACATCACAATATCTGTATAATATTCGTCACTTATGATTCATACACTTCCAGTAAAAAAAAAAAATCCCAAACACAAACCCATACATTTTGTTGTATACATGACATCAGTGGAACTGATCTGCATCAGACTGACATCAGTTAAGAGTTAATCATTTGTTTGTCACTTGGTTAATGCAGAATACACAAAGCATGGATATGTAAGGATTATGATGTATACCAACAAAAATCCAAGTAAGAAATTCTCAGAAATTATGTGTATACATTTGTCCCAAAAAGGTGTCATCCACAATTTTTCAATAATAGACATGACAACCTTGTTATATCTTTTGGATTTTAAGGATGAAAAAGTTTGTTATTCAAGAAACAAGGAAACCTTTGTCATGTAATGTTATTATGAAGATGTCTTTTCTTATGATATTAAAGGAAAACATTACAGAAATAATAAATGTATTTATAAAAATCTGCAGAGTAGCTCTAGTGTCATCAAACATACAGCAAAACCTTCCATTCTACTTAGAACAACACTAATGCTCTCCTATCCAAGGCTGGATTATTAACACCATTGTCCCTGATGTCGAGCTTCCTCACATATTTGGAATTGACCCTTTTAAGGCACCACCACATACACACAGCCTCCACATGCATGTGCCACATCAACAGACACTTCTACACCTTTAAGGATGTGCCACATCCCAGAAACATAAAACGATCCTCTATGGATGCGGCTTATATCACTTTATGACACATAAAACCCCTCTTATCATTGTGCCACAATAAAACCCATGTATGGATGTGGCACATCACTTAAGACACATAAAATCTATCTTATTGAACCTCTGAATGTGGCATGTTCACCTTTGCATGCACCATATCCAAAGACAAATGTAAACCTCTCAATGGATATGCCACATAAACAAACAGACAATAAACTTCACTATGGATATGACACATCAACAGACAGACAATAAACTTCACTATCGATGTGACACATCAACAGACAGTCATTAAACTTCACTATGGATGTGCCACACTCCCAGACATTCAAAACTCCTCTACGGCTGTAGAACATCCATGACATTTTTCCTTCTTTGGATTTTTATACCACCAACAATGTCTTGTACTCCATTTTGGAAGTTCAGTTGAACAGATGTTGACCCAAACTGTGCAGAAAATCTGGAATTATTAAAAGAATTGTCATATATATATCAAATAATGATAGTCTGAATAACTTAAATAGCCATAAACATACTAACATAAAGTTGATTGAATAAAAAACAGGCAATGAGTTTGCAAAATTAATGCAAAATATTCCTCTAGAATCATTCTTATATCCAACGCATTTCTTTACCCAGTTTGAAACAAAATTTGTGGAAGTAATGAAACCTAATAACAAGACACTATATTTGTACAAAATCACACACTTCATTTACCTCTAAATAATTGTACTGTTCAAATGGTTAGTCTTCATAGGAAAAGTCATAACAAAAGATGAACTTGGTATGATTCTGTGTGCTTCTTGTTACTCAGTTAAAAGCATCTGTACAACTAGCTAGATTTTCTGCTTTCATACTTACTGTTTAGATAGATATCTGAATACAACACACCTGTGATGTACTGCTTTGTATCTCAAGTTCGATATTCCGTGTCTCATACTTACTGTTTAGATATCTGAATACAAGACACCTGTGATGTACTGCTCTGTATCTCAAGTTCGATATTCTGTGTCTCATACTTACTGTTTAGAAATCTGAATACAAGACACCTGTGATGTACTGTTCTGTATCTCAAGTTCGATATTCTGTGTCTCATACTTACTGTTTAGATATCTGAACATTAGGTGGCTGTGATGTACTGTTCTGTATCACCAGGTATGTTTTAGCCACTGCCTCGATGGCATGATCACAGCAAAACAGGAAATCTCCCTTCTTTGACAGCTTATCACCATTTTCATGCTAACCATTAAAAAAAATTGTTTTAAAAGTCTTCTTTTGTCCATTTGTTTATATACTATTACATTGTCAGAAATAACTTATATTGAAACAATTTATTCATTTTCTGTACATAGTATGTGAATGATATATATGTGTAACACCATTTCATAGTCAAAAAATTTAAAATTTCAAATGAAATCTAAATTTGTGAATTTTGTAGTAAAATAATGCTAAACTAACCATGTATGTTATATGTATCATACTGAAATTACTAGAACATTAAATCTGTTCTTCAGTTCTTTAAAAGTTACAAATTAATATATTGATCATATAAATAGATGGGTTTCTTCTGATCCTTTAAACATGACATTTTAATGAAAATGATAGATTAATTTTATGTGTGGAATTTCAAAGACATGTGAATATTAAAACAAAATTAACAATGGTCCATGTTAAAACTAAATTAATACATATACTAGAATATATGACAATAGTTAAACTATTTTAATCATGAAATAAGCAAACTGCAGCATTTTGATCTCTGAGATCTTGTTTGAAATTCAAAATTTGTTCTGAAAAAAATTCAAACAAAAGACAAAGAATTACATTAAAATTTGTGCAAAGTAAACAACTGAAGACATAGTGAAGCTCAAAGTATGACAATGGCACATGTAACTCACTGCTGGATCAGACGGTAGCTCTTCCTCTTCTGTCTAATGTACCGTAAACAAGGGAGACAACTATGAATTACCACAACACAAGGCATATGTCATGACTAAGTACCGATATGGTAAATGAGTCAAGGGAGGTAAATCATAGCCATGATACTACACAGGATACCAACAACATAAAATTATTCTAGGAAGGTTCAAGTAACAAAAGGTGAAAAAGAAACATCTAAGGTCTTACATTAAGGTAATTTGGAAGTTAATACAGGAAAGTGTTTGAACAAATTTAAATATTCCAAAAAGGGCAGACAACTCTAAGACAACTAGTGAATTACAGTTTTAGGGAAATCCTAAAGCAATAAAGTTGCTAGCACTAAAACTATGATGGCAGACACAGGTAACACAATAATCGGGTCCCCTCATAATAAATTGGCGAGAGGTTTGATATACTTCTGGAAACACTTTGTATGTAAGTCTGCATTCCAATTTGAGTCAGTCTTGACTAAATGATCCCATAGCCTTGTCATGTAATTATATAAATACTTCATTTTTGGAGCTATTTCTTTGTAAAATGAAATTACAATAAAACCAGTCATATGATAAAAATGAATCAGTTGTGTACTGAGAGACCACTTTCAGAATCACTTTAAGTGTTTTATTAAATCATGCTAATACAAATTCTTGAAGGAATGCTTGTCAAGAGTACATGCAGAAATATATGGTGGTGTCAAGATAAGCAAGGTCTTGATGAAACCAAATATGACAATCGTTAATGTTAAAACCGCATTCTATGGATGTCATGTTAATCCACACACAAAATACTGCTGGTAGGAAGTAGGAATAATGAAATCCTTTCCTGACGCCTGATTCATCCGACCACCGCTAATTAAAGATGTCTGGATTCATGACCACTGATTTTTCTCTTGACTTTTATCCCAAACATGCCTTGAACCCTTTGTACATTTCTTATCCTCCAATTACCTATCTTGATTCACCCTTGATCTCTGTACATTTCCCTCTTGACCCTTGAACTTTGTACAAATATTTGTCCTGATCTCTTATAACTCTCATAGATCTATATGCAAGTACAGGAGGTCTTTTCACTGTGGGAGGAAACCAAATTTCCTGGCAAAAATCAATGCAGTTAGGCCAGTAACAACATTTATTGTCAGTTCAATCATGGATTTGTTGCATTCCACACTTTCTATCATTATTAACCACGGAGTCCTAACCTCTGTTCACTCACTTCCTTTGAACCCTGACCTCTGATACTCAATCTCCATTGACTCCAGACTCTTAATCTCCTTTTATTAAAAAAAACTCTCTTTCTCCTTGTTATTGACTTCTGACCCAACATCACCCTTGTTTTGTTAACCTCTGACCTCTAATCACCCCTTGTAGTTGACTTTTAACCCCCAATTCCCCTTTTCTTCTGACATTGACAACACATGCTCACCTTTTGAAGGTGAAGGACGACTAGGGAGTCTCTGAAGGGACTCAGTGATATCCTTTTGATTTCAGCGACAGGAATGCGGTACTTGACCATCATGGTATGGTGTTCTATCACTAATATGGCCTGTGTACTGATCACCAGTAGCTGGTCAACCATCTGTAAATAAACTCATCTGTCAGTGAAATACTTTCAATTGTTATTATTGTGTTTGAAATTTTCTTCTTTGTTCCACCCATCCTTTAGAACCCCTTCTGGCATTTCTGATGCGTTCTGTTTGTTCTTTTTATGTATATCTGAAATCTGATGTTAATTTTCATTTTCTCTGAGACTGATGAACCTCAAGTAAGCTAAAACAAAATATTCTTATTTAATTTAAAAAATCTCCAATTCAATGGAAAATCATGAAAGTGTGAATTTTATTGCACAAAGTTGAGACAATGGAAACCTGTAGCCACACAACATGTTATAAAATGTGTTTTTATTTCAATATTACAAAAAAGATAATGAAAATGTAATGCAAAGAAGAAAATTCGCCATCTTTGTGAAAGCAGATTTGGCAACAATTAGAAAAGATGGAATAAAACAGAACATTACATACTGGTACCTGGTATTGTCTAAATTCAAACCTGAATACACGTCAGAGAATATGAAAAGGAAAACCACAACTTTAAAAACTATTATGTACAAGAATATACAAATGAACCAGTTTAAGATAAAATATTATCAGTTTTTAAACCCATACCTTTCCATTGGCTCTGTTGACCTTTTTGACAGCATCTGCAAAAACAACGTGGTTGTCATTGGCTACTTCGTTCATTTTCTTCCATTTGGGGTTTTGTCGCAGATTTTGATAATCACCAGCAAATTGCATGGAGACCCTGAAAACAAAATCAGTCATAAAAATTGGAAAAATGTCTATCAGTTGGTTGTTTTCACAAATAGTAACAATGGAAATTAATTTGACCCTGGAACAAGGTTTCGTCCTAGGTATTAATCCTATAACATGGATTTGTACGTATAAGATTTTGTAAATAAGACTACACTACACTTTATTTGAAGATCAGAACTCTATTCTTTAATTACTGATTTCCTTGTTAACTCTTTAATCCAAATAGTGTTACACTACATAAAAGAGAGTTCAAAATGGTCACCTAATTAAAAAAAGTATAAAATTTGGGGTTATAATCTGTGTTTATAACTGGTTAAATAAACTATAGCCCAGTCTATATACAAGGTTCTTACGTTTGTGTATATCCCTCCTTCTTATCTTTGAATAGGTCACTGGCAGTGACCTTCTCTTTCATCTTGTATCTCTCAGCCGTGTCAAACTTCTCTCTGTATTTCGCACACTAAAACAAAGGCCAAATAATCAACTAATGTAGAAATAGGTAGAACATGATCACATTAGACTTAAATCTAACTAATGGATTTTACTTCATATAGTAAAATAATAAATAAATAATTTTTTTTTTTTTTGTAATTTTTTATTTTTAAGCATTTTTTACAAGTATAGTTAACATCACATAAGCATACACACACTCCACACACAGAAACTTCCATACTTGTATAGGATTGCAACTATTTGTGAATCAATAACTTAAGTATATTGTAGATGATATCCTAGTTTACACAACATTCTTATCTTCATAGTTGCCATCAGCATTAGAATATTGCAATCAGGGTTCATCCATAGATATATGATTAAGAAAATATGGTTTACAAAAACCAATTACCATTTCTATATACACAACAAAACACATGCCTTTGTCATCTTTATTACACACACACACTTTCCTTCCACATAGAGAGACAGAGAGACAGAGAAAAAGAAAGAAAAGAAATGAGAGGGTGATAGTGGGCTAAACATTCATATCACATCTATGTATCTCACTCACCAACAATGTCTTTTTCACTTACATTTTGAAATCCTCACACACTTTAGAGGAGAATAGCAGAGATAAAAAGAGACAAGCAAGGAACAAGACAGAGGGCTAGTGGAAGAGAGAAAAATTATATATGAGTATATTGAAAATCTAAAATACACAATGAAAGGTCATTTTTAATAAATAAATAATAATAAAAATTAATTAGGTGATAATATCAACATGAAACAAAATGTGATAGATATGTTAACACATGATGGCCCCATATCAATAATAAGTAGCTTACCCTTGAATACTATCCTACTAATGCAGTCCTTGGGAAAGGACTAGGCCAGTCTAAGTATATGCTTACCCGCCACCTATGGAAGAAGACCTGTAGTTGGTCTGATGCATCCTTAAAGCGTGGTGAACACTTAGGCCAGTAGGGGTCAGTTGGTGACATGGAGGGCAGACTTTTCTTCATATTCAATAAGAACTGTTTCTTCTACAAACAATGGAAAGTAGATAGATCAGTAATCATTTCTAAGATAAAAGGTTTTGTTAAACTAGACTGATATTGTTTCATGAATGTGTAAAATTAGATCGCATAGAACTAATACTTGCTAGTTTCTTTTATGCATTTGAGATTAAGGGTTAAGTAACGGCAACTGTGGTCAACATGCAGTAAAGAGACATAATTAGAACTTGTACAATTTTCAACATATAGTGAAATAATTTCAGAATATCCAAAGCAACAAAATATTGGGACTCAAAAGTCATTAATGAAGCTGATCAATTATAACTGTTTTATATCATCCCTATAATACAGTAAACAATGTGACACTGACATATTCCACATAGCTTTTAACAGCAGGTCAGGTGAACTGCTGGGCTCCAAGTATGGTTATTGATTTGGATTTTTATTTTAACCTACCAATGCAACCTGGATGAACTTGACAATTTTGGGGCCCGCCTGGGCTCGGAACTTCTTCCTGTACTCTTTACGAACTTTCCAGCCAAGGAAATATTTCCTGATAATAGCCACAGCCCACAGTTCCAATTTCTCTCTCTTCAGCTTCTTCAGCAGCACACGTGCCTGAACAAACACACACAGAGTTATCTCCCTTACTTCATAAACTGTCGATACCAACATCAAATTAAATCAGAAGGAGGTTTACAGTCTACTGTGACATTTTATAATGCAATTAAACTAAAACACTGGTGATTCCATAACAAGCAGTACTAGCTGTTTTTCCCCCAAGTTCAACTTTTAAAAAGAGGTGACCTAGATTTGGATTTCTGAAATTATCAGCAATTGCAGTATATGGCATATATAAATTACATAACATACTTGTGAACTGCTTATTCTCCTGCCCATAAATTACAATAGGTTGATATAAAGATCTTACCCTCCAGCCACGGACAAAGCACTGTAACACCAAGGTAGCTCTCTTTGTCCTATGATATTGTTTCTGGGCCTGTAATATGCAGAATTTAAGTTTAACAACTACACAATATTTCATCGTAATTTACAAAACAAGGAAAATGTGTGTAACATATGAATGCCATTGCTTCTATGCAAATCAGCTTAGGCAGGTACCTTTAAGTTCCTGAGTACCTCAATTGTCCGTATCCAGTTTTCCTACTCTGCTTCTATCCCTGAACAGTAAATGTAAATGGACTTATTACATTTATAGCCTCGATTCTCAAGCAGTTTTAATTTATATGTATACATCCTTTATATTTTCAAAATGCATAAGTTTCCATGTATGTAGTAATACTGCTTAATTAAAGATCTATTGTTGTGACTTACCCAGAATCCTCTGAACCGAGCAGCAATGATGACCTGACTAGCCCTCATTAGCTGGTACAGTTTCTGTTGTTTCCATCCTTTGTATGTTTTCTGTATCATCACAGCTAGGTAGTGCATACGGTCTCGTCGCCTCTCCTCCATATCAAATAACTACAGCAAAAATCTTACAATATATCACTGTTTCCTCTCCTCCGTATCAAATAACTACAGCACAAATCTCACAATATATCACTCAGTTTCCTCTCCTCCATATCAAATAACTACAGCACAAATCTCACGATATATCACTCAGTTTCCTCTCCATATCAAATAACTACAGCACAAATCTCACAATATATCACTCAGTTTCCTCTCCTCCATATCAAATAACTACAGCACAAATCTCACAATATATCACAATTGTTTTCAGTGGATAAACATTGTGTCCTCTCCTCCATATCAAATAACTACAGCACAAATCTCACAATATATCACTCAGTTTCCTCTCCTAGTGTCCATATCAAATAACTACAGCTTTGTTATGTTTAATAATATATAATTATATACAAATCTCACAATATATCACTCAGTTTCCTCTCAAATCTCACAATATCAAATAACTACAGCACAAATCTCACAATATATCACTCAGTTTCCTCTCCTCCATATCAAATAACTACAGCACAAATCTCACAATATATCACTCAGTTTCCTCTCCTCCATATCAAATAACTACAGCACAAATCTCACAATATATCACTCAGTTTCCTCTCCTCCATATCAAATAACTACAGCACAAATCTCACAATATATCACTCAATTTCCTCTCCTCCATATCAAATAACTACAGCACAAATCTCACAATATATCACTCAGTTTCCTCTCCTCCAATCACAAAGTCTCATCTCCCCTCCTCAATATAAAATAACTATACAAATTTCAAAAGTGCAGCACTTTTTAATTCTTTACCCTTGAATAATGGATGATGTTCAAAATGTACTCTGGAATAGCATGTGATAAGAAAATCCTATCATGTTAATTTGATCAGAGTTATATGTGTTCGTAAGATATCTTATACACAAACTTTAACATCTTTCAGATGGAATTCAATTATACAAACAAATTTGTTAAAAGATAGAAAAGATCGTTAAAGAAAACCTATAGTGTGGTACTTTTTTTAAGCAACAATCTTACCATACGGGGGTTTCTGATAAAGATCTTAGATTTTCCAAAGGCATATTCTTCACTAGAGATATTCTGGGCTAAACAGATGATTTTCACACCCTCTTTAGGGTCACCTGTCCAGTGAGGCCACGTCTCATTGGCCAACATCTTGTATCGGTAAAGGAATTGTGGGTAGCTCTGTCGGAAGGCATAACCAGCCCTTCTCACCCGTACATTCTCCATCAACCTATTATATAGAATGTATATATTATATAGCAAAACTTAACTGTTCTTGAATACATCGCATGGCATCAATGTAAGACGAGGGACAAAAAACTATGATATTAGGTCATATGCTCTCTATAAATGCCAATACAATAAGCTGAATGTGATTCCCAATGTATCCTTGCATAACCATAAGAAATAAATAATTAGTAAGTTTAGATTAAAGACCTCCACGTTTTGAAAGTGGCACAGATTATAATTTGCATCAGATGAATCTAAATGTCTTTCATTTAATGTTTAACACTCACCCAAGATACCGGACTTGATGTCGCACAATGTCCAGTGTGAAGACACCAGGTTTCTTCTGGTCATTTGGCTAAAATTGACGACAAACAAATATTAAAAAGACCTTTGTAGGGGTGATGCTATAGTGTGAAAATTTTTTATCCATGGGATCATAGGATATTTTGTACTTGAGGTTATCATGGTGGATACACACACAGATGCATAGACAAAATAGTTACTATACCCCAACCCCCACCCCCACCCACACCCTCATCCCCATTGCATAAGTGGAAGGGGGAGGCGTTCTTCCTTATTCATTAACACAGACGTTATATGTAAATAATTCAAAATATGTTTTATGACTTACCTTAATACACCTGACATAATTTGGATTCTTGGATAGAAGATTTTTCATCAGTTCTGTAACAGACACCTGAAACCAAGAAAGAATAAACTTTGAATATAAATCAGTGCATAGCAAGTGATGTCTCTTAAAATGTATAAATTGAGGCATATTGCCTAAAGCTTTGTAAAGAGAACCTTCAGGTTAGTAGGACACAATTAAAGCATTTATTTGCAGAAATATTATAATATTTGAGTTTCATGAAAGATCTGATCTAAAGTAAGGTTTCCTTACCTTGAATTGAGATCCAGTTGTAGCTGGCCTTTTAAGAGACTTCAGGGCTGGGTTACCTGGAATAGCGACAAGATTTTTTACATACAGAGCGAACAGAAATTATGCCCAACCATCATGTATAAAAATCCTCTTTAAACACCACAAATTCTGCTTTTTAGATAAGAAAGAAAAAAACTATGAAATGTTAAAACATGTCTGTTGATATTTCTGTAAACCAATGCTAAAGAATAGGAAAAGCTATGAAGGTTATTTCTCAAAATATCATACATTAATAACTTAAGTATACAACAAAGATATAAAGTTGGCATCATCTGATTGGTGTGTATCCATCCTGTAATGCGTGATACAAGTTTAGCTGGAATATTACTTGGTCCCTCGTGAACCAATAACATTGGGTTAATATTCTAATTATATTGAGCGGGCTGAGGTATCCACTCTATCATTTAACTATGTTTAAAGTTTGGTTATATCTGGACTCGCTCAACAAATCTAAATGCAAAACTTTAAAATGAAATGTTAAAGACGACAGTTGTATCCCCAATGTTGTCTTCCACATTGCAACGTCACAACAAATTGAGATGAAAATCCCATAAAAAAATTTCAAAATCGAATTGTACGTAAATGATACATGCAACGCCACATCTATTCCCACGCTAATATTTCTTTGTGATATCATAGTCCTAGATCTAAGAGTCCGTGTGATGATTGACAGTAAAAGTCAACTAATGGATTATTTATATACATAATAATGAGATCTCAAAATAATTCTTTATCTTTAATGATATGTAGAATTTGACTTGTACCTTCAGGGAAAAGATCCTTCAAGAGAGGATGATCACAGGCAAACATGGCTTGAGAGAGGTCACGGAAGAGTAGATCGTTGTTTTTGTCTATAAATCCCTCCACTTTGTAAGTCACCTGTTCACAAAATATTTTAAAAAAACTTTCAACCAAATATTTAACTTCCATTTCATAAACATAATATTTGTTCATATTTAATGTAAAAATGAAAATTTTGAGTCAATGTAAAAAATTAACAGATCACAAACTATATTTACAAATGTTTCAGAAACAGTTTTAAAGAAATCAAAATTAACTGATTTATGGATATTCTAAAGTTGGTATAATTTACTGTTTACTAACATTTCCAGCGTAATGCTTGAGACGAAAGATATCATGGGCTAATGTTCTGTCCGACTGATTTTTTTTACATCCTCTGCTCTCATAGTGGGGATGGTTACCACAGGCTACATTCAGTTTCTCCAGGAAGGTTTTGTCTGTGACATTTCCAGGGCGGAGACATTCCTCATCCAGCATAGCTAGGATGCCAACATTTGGCTGTAAAAAGCAAAGAACAGATTATTTAGAAGCATTACATTTAATTAACCACAGTGAAGTGGAACCATAGTTAAAAGTTGACTCATCAAATTAATTTCCATTATATATATATTATATTAAAAATGTTTGAAATTTGTACTTTTCTTCAAATGAAATGACGTTCAAGTAACAAATGAATTTTTTGTTATATTCTATCAGGAGAATTTGTATTACAGTTGCTATTTCTTTTGTATCAACTCATTATTTTGCTGTTGTTTGATCATCTCTAAACACAGTCAGAATATCATTGGTGAATAGTAACAGCATATGGTTGCCTTTCAAATCAATATTACCACGAGTTTAATCAATCTAATCATGATTTAGAAATTAACACTGTAGTAAATGAACATGTTATGGAAATATAATATTAAGTTTGATTGTATGTTAATTAAATACCGGTAAATAAGCTATTTCTATACATAAAAAAAATCATCTCTCTGCAGAAAAGAACCAAAAATATTAGATCCTCACAGGATTAGGTGTACAATAAATAAATATAAAAAATTCTTTGAAATATATCTGAAAATGAAAACATCTTCATGGTTACTTTACTTGAAGTTGGAGTTAAATGTCAACTGCTTTCTGTTCTGTGTATACAATTTAATTAAACAGGTAGAATATTTAGCAGTAGAGTCCAAATTCCCTGTCAATTCTAAATTAGTTTTCCAAGAGAAAGTCCAAGGATTCAGTGTAAACAGCAGTGGAAAATTCAAACAGAAAGGCAAGAACACTTAAATGCCTGATGAGACGAAGCAGAGCAGAAGCCAAGTATAATTATATGTAAGGTAAATAAAAAATGGTTAGCATTTCCATCCATAATCATATTCAAATTACTGTACAGCAAATTCAGTAGACATGTATTATACAGTCCTATTTTTACCAAATTTCAGGCCACATTCAGAAAAGAAAACCTACTTAAATAAGTAGAAAACTGTTTTGTACCTTAATTTTACAGCATTGTACATTGAAGGTATGTAAAAAAAAATTTAACTTTAAAATCCTTGTTCTTGCTTATCTCTGATTAAATTAATACACATTATTACATCAGTGCTTACTGAAGAGTAAGACCTTTGGAGTTTCAATTCTACTTCTTTGAACTGAGACATTAGGAGACATGTAATGTTTTTTATTCCAGAAGACTTATGACTTAAAAGATCTATTATGAAGTAAATAATAGCTTCACAAAACTCCAAATTGACAAGAGTTATCATCTTAATTAATTACCGATATACTCTACAGATGCTCGTCATAAACAATAAAGGGAGGTCTCCATTTTCTTAAGGAAGGTCATCATAAAAACACTCATTATTCACCAAACCCCCATATAAACACTGATCAATACATACATCAACTAACATTGACTGTACTTGAACTTACAAGTTTTCAGTCTGTGACTCAATGTATTTTAACAAAAAGAGAAATTTATTTTCATAATGCTATTGGTCAAATATTAAAGGTTTTACATTGTAAGATATATCGACCATTTAGAGAATACAGCTTTGGAAAGCAAGGCAACAATATGTGCAAAAAATACTCAAAAGACACAACATCAGAGAACAGCTAGTACTGATTTGTGCAAATCACACATAGTAATGATGTGCTTATCCCAATATCATTTTAATATTCATAGCGAGGGGATGATTAATACATAACAACAGATCCTTTACTGAACATACAGTGTTGATATATATCAAACTGAAAAACGCTCTTTTAACCTCATTGCTAAGGGTCCCCTTCACCCGTGACCACACTTCACAGAGGTACAGCGAACATATAAAGATGTGATACTAGTGTACACTGTGATGACCACTTTAACAAAGGGTGTTGTGGTAAGACTTAAACAGAAACCTACAATTTAGCATGAAATAAATAGATTTTATACAATGATGTAATTACATCAACAGGTGAGTGAATCAAAAATATATTAATGCCATTTAACAAAACAGAATCTAATATATTTCATCCATTTCTTGAACTGAAAGAAGAATTGTCTTAAAAACAGATTTCAACATACTTTTTTGTTCCTATAATTAATGTTACAAATATCTCCATATTGAAAGCAAATCAAAGCAACCATTCCGTTTTGAATGCTACAGGAAACATGAAAAAGGAAAACATATATGAAAGCCTTTTACAAGAAAATCTCACACCAAGTTGTCTTACCATGTATTTACTTTTACCGGAGGTCTAACAAAACAAAGACATACAGATATAATGCAAATGGAGGTCCGACGACCGAATGGTGCATTATACGTGCTTACATAGGCAGAGTGGGTTAAGTGCATGGAATATTTTATTTTGTTGTTGTATTGATAATGGAAAGTGATAATATAATAGTAAATGGTACGTAAGTGCTTAGGATGTTTCATAATAATGGCTAAGGAAAGGGAAGACAAGTACAGCGTACAATGTAGGGAAAATTAGTATATATAACTATGAATGCTCTTATAATGTTCTGTATTTTCGATTGAAATTTAAGCTGTTGTTACTGATAATAAAAGAAAAGAAGCGATTCAAGATAATTGCCAAGCTAAGGAATTGTTTCCAATATCAAAACTAAAAGCATTTTTGTTTGTATTGCTAAATTAATTGCCCCATCAACAGGGTCACTTTGAGGCAGGAACTCTTAATTTCAAAGATTTTATAGCATGTTAAGGTCATGATATAATTCTTACTGAACCACATATATGGCTTTATCTTCAATTCAAAACTTTCAAGAACCATCCCATGGTTACCATATGGCCACTCTAAGACAGGAAATCTCCTTCAGCTAGGCTTTAGACTTAAGCAATTCCATTGCCTTTATATAATGTTATTTTAGCAGGTCTCCATCAATTAAAATGACTTTAACCCAGTTTTATATTGTATATTGTCTACACGATAACTATTGAACTGATCAAACTCTGTACTACAAACTAACTTAAGATAAATCAGTATGTAAGGAATTAACTATCATATGTACTTATATGGTCTTACAAGAGTTATCTATCTTGAATTGGTCATTGACAGCATCATAATACAACCTGTTGTTTATGACTTCACAATACCTGCCTTCTTGTTTAGAGAGAACTTCTCTTTAGCTCTGTTGAGTGTCAGACTAATAAACCAGAGATCTCAGGTTTGAAACCTCATAAAGGCATTGAAATAAAAAAAAAACCTCGGTTACATTGTCCAAAGCCAATGGTATGTGCATGATCAATGGGTACCATTAAACACTAGAAAACCAGTCCCTAGTTTACTGTGATTGATGTACCCCTTTTAACAAACATAGATATATGCTGACATTGCATGTTAAAGGGAATTTTGTGCTTATATTTGTAAGAAAATTATGACAAACCAAAACCAGACATTTTATCAAATTTTACCAGCTTATGTTTTTAATACCAACACCGAGTGAAATGTTAGTTTAGACATAACAGATATGTTTGATTAGCACCATAAAACATGCATGCCAATTACCGAGAGATGTCTAGATCAGATGTACAGCTACAGTTCTCTTCTAACCTTACTACCATAAAGTCTTCAAAAAGCATTTGTTAAGAACAGCCTCAGGAACCATTACCCAAACAAAATTCATAAAGTTGAAAATAGTGATTTGTATCCACACCAGTACTTGACCATTTTATAGTTATATTTTCAGTATTAACTTCGCTTGTGTGATTTATCGCTTTGTCAACTGAATGGATCTTAGTCTGTAGTTATCTAAACACCCACTAGGTATATATATTCATACTCGTTTTCTTCGATTATCTCCCTTGAAATGAAAACTATGTAAACAACACTTTCTGCTGAATTTGAAAACAAACTGTAGTGTGTGCAAGCTATCTGTGTCCTATTGTCACCTGTGAGGCACATGGACTACAAGATGAAGAAACTAGTATTTGCTGCTGGCAAACTGTCTTATATTATTAGTTCCAAAGCGGTACAACCGAGAGATCAATATTTAAAGTGTGTAACAATGGTTGGATTTGTCATGATTAAACTGTTTTAAACATAGCTGAAACTGAGAAGTCTGTGTGATAAAGGTGATACACTTCATGTTAATTTCTGTCTCTGTTTCTTGTTTATTGAATGAGTAATAATGAATACTTTCATATGACAGAGGCTTAATTCATGATAAACTGTTTTTAATTTTACAAACCCTATTAGGATGTTAGATGATGTATTTCCTGTTTAAACCCGTTACACAAAGTAGATCCAAGTGTGAGGATGTTAGAAATAGGATATACAGTACAATTACTTACATCACCCTTAGTTGCAGACTGGAAGAAGGAGTAAGCATGTCTATAGATAATGCAATGGGTCACACACCATGCTCATACACAAAGTATATCATATAACTGTTCTGCTTGTAACCTTATTCTCAAACTGCATTCATTATTCATTGAAATGAGTCAACAATTTGAGGTCCATTTCATAAATTCGATTTATAATAATAATCATAGTTTTCTTTATTTCACCAAATAGCTAAAATGACAAGAGATTACTTCACATTCATAAACTCTTTCCTACAGATATAAAAGACATCTTATTGTTGTATCAAAAGGAAAAGTTCTGTTTAAATAAGTAAGATTTTGTTTTTGAGGAAATAAAATGAATGAAATGGCACGTTTAATGCAGAAACAGTAAACATACATACATACAATGATCTTTCATTTTTGATATTGACACTCTATAACTTGCACATGACATGCTTAAATGTATACTTGCCAGCTCTTTCTTTTTATTGGGGCACTGTCGTTTTTTTACTATCATTTTTTATTTTCAAAATGACTGAAAGTCTAAACGTCTAATTCTTTACTCAATTTCCATTCATTTATTATACTGACCAGATTAAACTGTAATTAATTAACCAACATTTTGTCAAACAAAGATTTTGTCCGTCAGTTTCTGACCCAATAAGAAATTTGAGAAGACGGCAAGTATATGGATTCAGAAAGAAACTGACATGCATTTGATAAAATTTATTTTACAAAAGTATAAAAGTTCTCTATATTTATGAGAAGGATGATATCAAAGTCACACAACAAATATTTCCTGGTTTTATCAAAACATCTAACTATAAAGATATGATTTTGGCTCTACCAAAACCCATGGCAGTCAGGAGGCACACAAGATGCTTAACATGGCACAACAAAAAGTTAGGATGTCACTGGGCTTTTTAATAAACATTTTAAAAAGTTTTCTGTCTACATTAAATGAGTATCACCATTTGTTCACATGAAAATACTCATGTTTGAATAAATGACCAACGTTATTCATACCAGTATTTATATCCTATTAATCTACAGATCCAATGAAGCATAAAATGACATCAAATTTACTCAGCCGTGACATTATATAGCTTGAAAACTAAATCACTACACTCAATTCTACAAAGTTGTGGAACTAAGAAAAAATAAAACATGGTGAATTAGTACTTGATACTTTAAGGATCAAGTGTGAAAAATATTGAGATTCTGATTAAAACATGTGGTTAATGTAGTGAAGGACTACAGATAAACTATAAGGAACACCCCTTACAGGGCTCAACATCCATAACAACAGGAGAAATACTCCAAACTCATGTGACATCAGCAAGAAGTCCTATAAATATCTAATCAGTGCCATATCTGTACTATACCTTTTCAATGAGCTCACAGATCACAGAATTGTTGAAGAAGTCAACATGGATCCATTCAATTCCCTGAAAGAAAATTAAATAATTATAAATTCTAAATCTATGGCCATATTATGATAATATATGATGAGGAAAAGTGTTATCACTGAAAATTGTTTTTAAGAGAATCAAGCAGAAACATCAGGTAGGAAAACAAGAGACCCACAGGCCTTAAACGGTCATCTGACTATAAAGACCTACATATGAAAGAGGCCAAACAGGCCTAAAATAAATTGAAATCATGCTACTTCACCAATGCCATTACTCCAGACCTATTGCTTGTAGAAAAAGAAATATTAAGATCTTGACTCACTTAACCGAAGATACCTTGAATATAGGTCAAGATCAATTATTTGAAGAAATTGGTAGCCCTTCATCAATTTATATCAAAGAACCAAAATCAACAGCCTGGACATTTCTATTATTGAGAAGAAGTCATTTGAAGATTTCATACTGGTTTGTAATGATGTCACACTGACTTGCAATGATGTCATACTGACCTAAAGTAATGTCAAGTTGACTATATTATGTCACCAGCAATCAGAATGATGGTTACTATAACATCATTACATGTCACTATGACATCACTAAAGGTGACTATGACATCATTAAAGCATGAAAGTCTGTATGACATCACTATAGGTCAGTCAGACATCACTGAAGGTCTGTCTGATAACCCAGTGGTCAGTATGGCATCACTCGTCAGTATTACATCACTGAAGGTCTGTATAACATCACAATTGGTCAGTTTGACACCACTAAATGTCAGCATGACATCCAACTGGCCAGTATGAAATCATTACAGATCAGTGTGATATCACCAGAGGTCAGTTCAACATCACTGATGATCAGTATGACATTACTATCACTGGTGAGTATGACATCAATGACACATCACCAGTAGTCAGTCTGACATTGCCAGTAGTCAGTCTGACATCACCAGTAGTCAGTCTGACATCACTAGTAGTCAGTATGACATCACTAGTAGTCAGTCCGACATCACTAGTAGTCAGTATGACATCACTAGTAGTCAGTCCGACATCACTAGTAGTCAGTATGACATCACCAGCAGTCTGACATCACCAGTAGTCAGTCTGACATCACCAGTAGTCAGTCTGACATCGCTAGTAGTCAGTTCAGTATGACATCATTAGTAGTCAGTATGACATTGCCAGTAGTCAGTCTGACATCACCAGTAGTCAGTCTGACATTGCCAGTAGTCAGTATGACATCACCAGTAGTCAGTTCAGTATGACATCACTAGCAGTCAGTCCGACATCACTAGTAGTCAGTATGACATCACCAGTAGTCAGTCTGACATCACCAGTAGTCAGTCTGACATCGCTAGTAGTCAGTTCAGTATGACATCACCAGTAGTCAGTCTGACATCACTACAGGTCAGTATGACACCACTAGTAGTCAGTATGACATCACCAGTAGTAAGTATGACATCACCAGTAGTCAGTCTGACATAGTCAGTCTGACATCACTACAGGTCAGTACTACAACTCACTAGTCAGCTTGTCATCACTACTGGTCAACATAGCATCAGTACAATCTATTTTTACCTCGTCATTACTACTGGTCAACATAGCATCAGTACAATCTATTTTTACCTCGTCACCACTACTGGTCAACATAGCATCAGTACAATCTATTTTTACCTCGTCATCACTACTGGTCAACACAGCATCAGTACAATCTATTTTTACCTCGTCATCACTACTGGTCAACATAGCATCAGTACAATCTATTTTTACCTCGTCACCACTACTGGTCAACATAGCATCAGTACAATCTATTTTTACCTCGTCACCACTACTGGTCAACACAGCATCAATACAATCTATTTTTACCTCTTTGATGTACTCATCCTGTTCTTCCTTCAGAGTAAGTTCTATGAATATCTGTTGTAATTTCTCATTACAGTAGTTGATGATGAACTGCTCAAAACTGTTCTCCTATAAAAGATACAATTATAGTTCTGTTAGTCCTGTGTTCTACATTCTTTGTTGTAACACTGTGCTAGAGGATAATGAGAATTGTTTTCTACAACAGCGGGTAAAAACTGTATAATTTTATTGTCTGATCAATCATTCTTATAGCTGTATTTTCTTTTTCTTCTTTTTTTGTTTGTTTTTTGTTTTGTTAAAAGAATTCGAAGAATATACTGATTAAGGAGCTAGAGGTTCGATATGAGGGTAGGACAGTGATTTCCATAATTGTTTTTTAAAGTTGCAATATCAAAAGTCACTGTATAGTTTGTATGGTTGTACCTTCAGTGTCCATCTTACGTTTTACGCATAATGACAATTTTCTACATTTTTGCATTCAAAGGTTTCCTAGACTTAACAATTTCTTAATGTACTATAATGGAAATTGTATAAGGTCTGACCTACCTGAAACACTTCAAATCCATAGATGTCTAAGACACCCATCACTTTACATTTACCAGTGGACTGGGATTTCACCTACAGAATTACAAAAAAAGCAATTCAAGACTACATGCAGAACAAGCCACAGATGTCTAGGACACCCATCACTTTACATTTACCTGTTCAGAACCCTTCCTATACATCAAAGGTTTTACTTGTACAACAGTTCAGAACCCTTCCTATACATCAAAGGTATTACATATACAACAGTTCAGTACCCTTCCTATACATTAAAGGTTTTACCTGTACAACAGTCATTACCCTTCCTATACATAAACAGTATAGCATCTACATCAGCTTCTACAAGAAGAATTCCCTTTTCTCTTACAATTTATTTCCCACAGAAAAGTCTCACATCCAATGTAATTTAGTATCCAGTGGACATGGTTTTTCTATCTAATAAAATATTGTATATTATCAAAGACATATGACATATTTTGTCCAGTAACATCTCATTCTGTTTAACTGATAGAATTATTCAGCGAGATGTGTGGCCAGATTGTAACACAATGGTACAAGACATGTCCAATCTTACCCTAATGCTGTCGTTAATCCTGCCAACCAACCAGGAAAACATGCGGCTATAGATGGCCTTACAGAGGGCATCACGGGCATAGGTTGCCTGTAATATAAGATTTCTCTTTGTAACAGGTTTCCTGAAAGCTCTTACATTTGAAACTTGTTCCTATTTCATTTGCAAAGTGTATTTAAAACATGAGAATTTTAATACTCAAACATTACTTTGGATTCATCAACAAATTAGAAATTGTGAAATAGCAAGTTTCTCAATTTTATGTACTGGTGTTACATCTACAGATTTCAAGACTTCAAATGTTAACTGTGTGTTTTTCATGTCTGTAATTATATTGAAAACATATTTAATTTCACAAACACAGACAAAGTCAACTTCTTTTGACAACATCCCTTTCACTTACCCCTGCTAAATTAAGATCAGATTTGACCTTTTCACCTCTGACCTCAACTGACTTGCGGGTCAAACTTTCATAAAGGTTTTCCATGGAACAGGAAAGCAAATCAGAAACATCTCGGAGATCTGAAATAAGAAAGGAATCTTTACAGTAATTGATATAACAATGATTGCAAAACAAACAGGAGTTAAATCTCAAAACCCATTTCAGACAATATTCATTAAGGTGTAATTTACTGCCAGAATCTTTTGAAGCCTTAATTGTATGAATATTTTCAAATCTAGGAAATCACACCTGCCTGTTATTCATTTATTTGTTTTGTTTTTCTTAGGAGTGTTTTTCTACAGATTTCTGGAAAAGCAGAGATAACACAAACCTTTGTCATCTGCTATATCACAGCCATCAGTTCCATCCATGTTGCTACGGTGAACAAATCCTACATTACCAAGCTTGAGTACACTGGCCAGGAGTTGGTGTACTGCGTTGATCTCTTCTTCCCTGAATCCTATCACCTTCATGCCATTCTGTAATATATAATACTGCATGTGTAAATATCTGTCCTAAATCCTTGAATGTCCTGCTGTCGTTCCATTCAACAGAACAATTCTGTACACATCGCTGTCTGAACACCAATGATAAGGAAATTTGGACAGCTATGAAATAAGACGCAATCAGGAAGAACACAGATGTATGAGACTCTTCAGTCATTTAGAGACTTTGAAGAAATTTTGGAAAACTGGCAGACTTCTAGAATATGAAGAATATATCTAATGTTATTTATGAATTTTAGAAAATCAACAATAAATCAGTTTTAAGATTTATCTAATGGGGAGAATGGGAATGTTGGTAGGACTAAAGTTTCAAAATATTTTAAATTCATAAGATTTGTGACAACACAAGTCACCTTACCCCAGTTTTCAAAGTTTTGTGAGAGAAAAGAAAATTGAAACAGTTGCCACTGAAAAAAAGGACAAATATCATCAATCACAGCTGTGAAATTATAAAGGATGTTCCAAATTTTGTATATTCTATGTTTGAAAATTTTCGTTAAACACTGGTTAACTATAACCAAGCTTCCAGGAACTGTGGCATAAGTTTGGCAACAGCATACTCTGACTACAGCAGAAAGGGGAACAACTCACCATAACAATGCGATAGTTCTCTTTATCATCCACTGTGTCCACAGACACACAACCACTCTTGTTGAGAATAGTAAACTGGTTGGGATCTGAAGTTAACTTTAAATTTGCTGAAAATAATACATATCATACAAATTAAACAGACTTATATATCGAATATGGTTACATATGGAACAATAACTGCTTATCAAGAATTCTACATCTCTCAGTGTATGTTGACAGGTATTCAGTATTTCTGATAGAAAAGTTCTGATATTTCACTGGTAAAAATGTCATTAATTTGTGTTACACAGGAAACATATATTCAATACAAGGACAATTACAAGCCTCTTGAACATTTGTTTAAATAATTGGACTACTAGAGGTTACCAATAACTTTAACATACATTTAATACATAGTCACTAGTGGTAAATGATGTATAAGCTTAAAATTTTCAAAATGCTATATCACACTAGGATATGATAGGAATATTAGTGAGTGTAGAAGTTATAGTAGACATATAGGTTAGGGTTGCTAGCCTTTTTTTCCTGGTTTAGGATTATTGTGTGATATACGATACCTAGTGTAGTAGGATCTGCTCCAGTCAATAGTTGGTAAAATACATGGAAATTTCTTTCCCCGCTACTTTGTCCAGCAACCCTTGACTGGAGGTAACATATACGTTATAAATGTTATCAAAGGTTGATTCAAAACATGCATTTGATTAAGGATATAATACATATATATAGTGGAAATTCTCCAAACAGACTTTGTATGGGATATGAACCTTGATCTGTTTTAGGAAGGGTTCGGTTTGTAGAAGTAAACAAAGTTGCAAAATGACAGTTTTCTTGTTTTCTAGCTCTGCACAAGTACCTATTTTCACTCTGTCTAGCCTTTACTTGCTTCAGCGAAACATTGAATTTGGTTACATCATTTCATTGGTGATAATTATAATCATTTATAAAGTTAATTATCATCCTGTCCATCATGGTAGATATTGCTGTAGAAAGACTACCCATCAATGACACACATGCACCTGTCAGTCAGGTCTTGATTACTCAGATGGCAGTTTGGTTTTCAGAAGTAATTTTCAGTGTATCTTATTTACTTTGGACACAAAATTGGGTCAGTATTGGGAAATGGGAGGGATCAGTCTTGGGAAGTATTTTCATTACTATAATAAAGAGAACATCTTTTCATACATTGCCATTTTGTTTGTCTTTAAGTGATACTCAGTTTTGTGAATCATCAGTTTGAAGAATTTGCACTGCAATTTCCAATACGTATATGTAATTCAGGAAAAGAAGAACAAAATGACACTTATTTGCTACATGAGTATACAAAACATTAACACATTGTTATATTCATATAAACCAAAAGCTCTGGATGAGGAATCTCATGCCAAAAAGGAACAATGTAGATATGTAAACAGTTGGCGGGAATAACTGTTGAAACTTCCATGTCATACTCACTTTTTCTAAAAGATCTGTAAATCAAAACAGAAAAACATATTAGTTTGTAATGAAATTTTACTTGAAAAATAAATTTTCAAAAAATATAAATTCTTTTATTAAATCTATTTTTATATAACCTTAACAAATTTATATTACGACAATATCGAGATGCCAAAAATTGAAGTAATTTACTTTCAGGAAACATTACATTTAAGCTTTTATATAAACAACAGGCCAGTATGTAAAGGTATGTAAATGAATTAAGTACAATTATGGTTGCATACTTGAATCAAAAGATTAATTAATTAATTAATAATAAGCAAAATCAAGGTATTATTCAAATGTTCTCTTCATTTAAACTGTATATAAGTTATCTCCCCTTTGTTAAGTAGGGACACTTACAGTTGGTGATGACACCACCAATAGGATCTCCCTTGTAGTCAAACTCAATGTCCATGTACTTTCCCTGTTAACAACAAAACTCTTATTACAGTACCATGTGCACAACAAAGAACCCCTGAAGATCTTGATTTATGAACTACAATTGTAGATAATTTTCAATCACAACATATATATTTGAAACCACTCTATGTATAATATTGCAATGCCGATCATATGTCATTAATGTAAACTTGGGATTTTATAAATTTTGTAAAATACTCACAAAGCGAGAAGAATTATCATTCTTATTGGTCTTGGCATTTCCAAAGGCTGAAAATATAGAACAAATATCAAAGAGATTGTTAAACTAAAAGGAAAGCATACACCATAATTTGCTCATGCCAAGGTATTATATGGAAAAGGTTTTTCTGAATAAAATCAAGTCATCTCTATTTTAAAGAAAATGTTACTCCTCAACATCACAAAAATATATGAATTCCACAACAACGAGATGTTTTTATGATGATTAACATTCTATGTAATGGCACTGGTAGATGACAGTAACCAAGGGGAGTAACTCCTTACCCTCCAGTACTGGGTTTGACTGAAGCAGCTGTTCCTTGACCTGGTCAATGTCACGACCTTTCCCTGACACCTTAGCTATGTAGTGCATGATCATCTTACTGGCCTCTGTAACACACAATTTTTACATGCAAACTGAAAAGTTTTGCAGTCTTATTCAATGCAAACAAACTGTAACTTATCTAACACATGCTTTGTAATGAAACCATGCATGTACATCCTATAATCTATATACAAGAATTGACAGTTAAAGATATTTTCAAAGTACATATGAGTTTCAGTAAAGTGCACATACTGTTAAAGTAATTGTGTCTTCAGAACTAAAACACGATTGTGTGGGATAATGAATAAAAACATGTACATATTGTAAATAAAATATTTTGTGTATTCCTGAAACATTTTTGAATTGACAATCAGAGTTGGAGATCACTGTGACAGATTGGTGTATTATTTCCTTCCGCATTTTCTTTGTGTGACCTCCAACAACTCTTTTAAACAAGGAGAGACATTTCAGGAAGCAAACCAGATATCATTATATCATTTTACTTCAGCTCATTCACTGATCATGGATTATGATGATTCATTATGCTACGGTCATAAAATCTTCTGGTGCTGACAGATATCTTTAAGAAATGATGACATTGTATTCAAAAGGTTTTGATAACATATCTCACCAGTTTTACCAGCACCACTTTCCCCTGATATGATGATACACTGGTCCAAGTTCCGATCCCGCATAGACCGATACGCATCATCTGATATGGCATAACTACAAATAAAACAAAAATTTAATTTGAGGTAGAATTGAAAAGAGGATATACTACAAATAGAGAACTTTATCCTGCAACTGACAGCGACATCGTTGGAATATATCTGCCATATTTTTTCTATTCTTTTTGCGGCAGTGATGGAAAGCAGTCATAATATTATCATGTGCATTAATTCAACTGAATTACTTTCTGATTTACTTGAACACTTCATTCAAAAATATGAATAACTGTTTAAAAAAAGCTAGTTTGGTCACTGTAACAGACTTGTAACAAACAAGTTAATTTACAAAAATTTTGAAAATTGCTTTTTATATTCATTCAGTGTAGCGTCAATGTCAGATAAATGAGGATTGAAATCCATAGAAATTTCAAGTCTCAATTTTCAATGAGTACTTAAGGATAAATAGAATACATGGTCAGTGTCTTATGCATATCAGCTACACTTTGGCTTGGGACAGAGAGACAAAAGTGGCTTGCCAAAACCTCACAACTTTCTTTACCCTCTCCAAAATAAAGCTTACATGTTAAGACACTGACTCACTTTTCAACCACTGATGCACTTAATTACTTTACTTTGATTACAAATTATCATATCTTTTCATGTTAACCTTATTTATTTTAATCTTAAGTCATAAGATGTCCTTGACCACTCCTTAAAATTTATGATTATCCCAATGATTATAATCCTTATACCGATAGGATAAAGTTTAACAAACTAAAATTATAACACTAAATTATCTCAGAATAGGTTAGTTATTCAGTTCCATTTTTAGGATACGATTCTTTTATACAAAACAGATACAGACGCTGGAATCGGCTATAATGCTTTGCACTCAGGTTGTGACTCACAGCCTTGACTCCTACAGATATAAATACACTTACAACTTGTTTGTAAACTCAATTAGACACATGCAGCAAATTTGATGATATTAATCATAGCCCCTAAGTTACAGATTTCTCTGGTTATCCAAAACAGTCTTCAATTACCCAAGTCAAAGTTTTCTCTAGTCTCAACACCATACCAGATATTTATCTGTCAAAATGTCTAACCCCTGGAGATGGGGCCAGAGGTCTCCTAGATGGATTGATATTTATAATATTTTGAAAAATAGGAGAAGACAAATCCTTTATATCATTTGCGACTTTTCTTAACAATATCATATTGAAGCTCAAGGCATGCGGGCAACTTCAAAAGATATTTCAAAGTTACAACATTTCCATAGTAACATATGACACAAATAGTATATTATTTTCAAATATTTCCGGGTTGAGTCATCCACATACAGAAATAAACAAAATCATAGACTGATAATGCTAACACAGGTGAAACATTAACCTTCCAAACGATGTTTTTGGAATGTCAAACATTTAAATTGTCACAACATTGCCAAACTTAATTTTAACAAACCTACAGAAGATTTATGTTATATTCTAGCTCCTGACTTCTTTTAATATAGATCTTTTTCTGTAATCTGAATTTCTAATTTTAGGGTTCATTTCACAACATGACTAACTAAATCTATATATACAAAGAAAGTAAATTATAAAATATGAGTATAATTATTTACATCATAACTTTTTTTGTTTTATTGCATGTACCGGCCATCATTATAAATTCTGTATGTAAGAACAAATATGAAAATATTCCCATTAACAACATTACTCTTAGCTGGTCAAGATTCTTTTCAGGTTATACAGTTTCTGTAAGGAAGTGATGGATCTCACTGCAACTAGAGGATGATCTGAAAATGTTCCCTAAATGCTCGTAACAAATAAGCATCATTGAATGGCATATCCTGACTCCAACAGATGAAACAATATTCAACAATCAGACACATTCAAGATAATTGCAGTATCTGCATCTCAGACTTTTTTAGCAATGAATGTCTTATAGAATGTCCCATGTAAATAGCGGTATCAGTTCACGAGGTTTTCAGACAAGTTTCAGACTATTATCAAGTGGTCATATAAGTATAAAAGTCCATGTAATGATCCTAAGATACACCCATGTGTAGCAAGACGGACAGAGAGATAGCACCAACAATTTAGAGGTGATAGGGAGTGCATCTCTCACACGAATGGTTCAGTAATTCACAGTTATGTTGCAAAGAATTTCCCAGAAATAGATTACCTCTAGACCACCTATCAGGATCACATCTCTCTGCCCCAATCATGGAGCTAGACAATACATTTATACGAGATTATGTCCACCCCATCCATGGATGTTCTAGACAATATTTGGTTATAACTTGTTCCTTGTCCAGCAGAAAGGTTTAAAGATCAACCTCCGTTTTTCCTATTGGACCCATTGCCTCTCTGCCCCCAGATGAGATGTGGAGGAAGAGGCAGACCATCTGATTTTTTAAATATACTGTCACATTCATGTAAAAAAGTTGCTTACGTACAGAAAAATACCTATATCCGAAAGACTGTGAGTAAAATTAATCTCTATTCCCCCTACTGGGCCCCAGTTATGTCCACATGGTTGGAAGACCCTTCCTATAAAATTGCCCTACATAATGATATTCTAAAATAAGAAAAATATTGAAGATTTAAATGTATTTCTTCCCTTCTGCCCCTAACAGGGTTTATCTCCACAATGCATACAAACTCATAATCAAGCATACATTCTGTACTAAAGTTTTCTGATAACCTTAAGAAAAATTTCAAATTGTCTCTATATATTGCAATTGATAAATCAAACACATTCTATATATCACCTGAAGTAAATGGAGAAATTGAGTAATATTTATTGGAACTCAAGATCAAATTATAACAATTTTTCTCATTCTAGCAAAATTATCTTATATCATAGAAATTTGCCAAATTGTAGTTATCAAAATTTCAGGAAATTTACCATACAGAATTTTGTACTGGAAGTGAGACTTTATTGCCACTCCCTGTTTAATGCTGTGTGCCAAGCATGTCTTGAAATCACTAAAATAGTTCCCCCAACATAATTCACCCACCCTTACCAAACAAGATAGTAAAACACGCGTGAAAGGTCAATGATTTAAAAAGGGGACGTAGTATATTTTTGATACTGGCAATCAATACTATAATCTTGCAAACTCAAGTTTGGTCGGACCGCAACAAATGTGGTGGGCATCTTTTATTACATACAACTATCAGTTTATGGAATCTTAAACATTTCAATTCAAAGATGACTGAATATTTACCAAATTATAGACAAACTATACCACAGTTCACTTTATATCTTGCCGTCTTTCTATATCCCACCACCTGTCTATTCATCCACCACCTGTTTGTATCTACCATCTGTCTATCCACCACCTGTCTTTCAATGATCTGTCTATCCACACCTGTCCTTTTATCCATCACCTGTTTATATCCACCATCTGTCTATCCACCACCTGTTTATATCTACCATCTGTCTATCCACCACCTGTTTATATCCACCATCTGTCTATCCACCACCTGTCTTTCCACAACCTGTCTATCCACACCTGTCCTTTTATCCACCACCTGTTTATATCCACCATCTGTTTATCCACCACCTGTTTATATCTACCATCTGTCTATCCACCACCTGTCTTTCCACCACCTGTCTTTCCACAACCTGTCTATCCACACCTGTCCTTTAATCCACTACCTGTTTATATCTACCATCTGTCTATCCACCACCTGTCTCTATCCACCACCTGTCTATGCACACCTGTCCTTTTATCTACCACTTGTTTATATCAACCATTTGTCTATCCACCACCTGTCTATCCACACCTGTCCTTTTATCCACCACCTGTTTATATCCACCATCTGTTTATCCACCACCTGTTTATATATAACATCTGTCTATCCACCACCTGTCTTTCCACCACCTGTCTTTCCACAACCTGTCCTTTAATCCACTACCTGTTTATATCTACCATCTGTCTATCCACCACCTGTCTATATCTACCATCTGTCTATCCACCACCTGTCTATCCACACCTGTCCTTTTATCCACCACTTGTTTATATCAACCATCTGTCTATCCACCACCTGTCTATCCACAACCTGTCTTTCCACACTCGTCCTTTTATCCACCACCTGTTTATATCTACCATCTGTCTATCCATCACCTGTCTATATCTACCACCTGTCCTTTAATCCACCACCTGTCTATATCTACCATCTGTCTATCCACCACCTATTTAAATATACAACCTATTTATCCATACCTGTCCTTTTATCCACCACCTGTCTATATCTACCATCTGTCTATCCACACCTGTCATTTTATCTACCACCTGTCCATATCTACCATCTGTCTATCCACACCTGTCATTTTATCCACCACCTGTCTATATCTACCACCTGTCTATATCTACCATCTGTCTATCCACAAATGTCATTTTATCCACCACCTGTCTATATTTACCACCGGTCCTTTTATCCACCACTTGTTTATATCAACCATCTGTCTATCCACAACCTATCTTTCCACACTCGTCCTTTTATCCACCACCTGTTTATATCTACCATCTGTCTATCCACAACCTGTCTATCCACACCTGTCCTTTTATCCACCACCTGTCTATATCTACCATCTGTCTATCCACCACCTATTTAAATATACAACCTGTCTATCCATACCTGTCCTTTTATCCACCACCTGTCTATATCTACCATCTGTCTATCCACACCTGTCATTTTATCCACCACCTGTCTATATCTACCACCTGTCCTTTTATCCACCACTTGTTTATATCAACCATCTGTCTATCCACACCTGTCATTTTATCCACCACCTGTCTATATCTACCACCTGTCCTTTTATCCACCACTTGTTTATATCTGCCATCTGTCTATCCACCACCTATTTAAATATACAACCTGTCTATCCATACCTGTCATTTTATCCACCACCTGTCTATATCTACCACCTGTCCTTTTATCCACCACTTGTTTATATCAACCATCTGTCTATCCACACCTGTCATTTTATCCACCACCTGTCTATATCTACCACCTGTCCTTTTATCCACCACTTGTTTGT